CTGATGCAAGTTTGTTGATATGGGTCAACACAACTCGCCGGATTTTTAGACTCTCCTTGGATACATGGCTATGGGAAATGGCCTAACGAGCACCTGCACTTCCACGTTTGCCACTGCACCACTGGGTTTGGTGGAACGGTTAATAGAGGGTGAGGCCCATTCCTCTGGGAAACTTGCTCCTTGAAGCTGTCCAATAAGATTGTGCTGCCTTAAAGACATTAAATCAGGTTTGGTGCCACACATTCAACCTTTCCCAGGCCTGCATCTTACCACCAAGTCTTCTCACATGCTGGGTTCAGACAACACAAGCCAAAATGTGTGTGGTTTTGTTATTTTTATATGTTTAAATAGAAACAAATTTAAACATACAATTAAAATTCTAGTCCTCGCTCAGCCATGGAGCCAACTGGGTAACTCTGGGCCAGTCACAGACTCTCAGCCCAACCTACCTCACAGGGTTGTTGTTGTGGGGATAAGATGGAGGAGGAGAATGATGTAAGCTGCCTTGAGCCCTTTGTAGGAAAAAGGCAGGATATAAATCGAAAAATAAATAATAAATAAATAAAATATGTATTATGTAAAATATGTCTTACAATACAATGCTCCCCCCACCCACCAGGACCAATGATGCATGTTATAATCAGAACTCCTTCTCATTCAAGCATTTTAGGACATCCTCCCCCTTCCAAAACTGTAATGATTCTTTCAAAGGCTCAAATCCTACCCCCTTTTAAAAAACATATTTAATAAATATAGACAAATATAATTAAACTTATTTTTTGCCATAGTGGTTTTTTACCATTGTTGGTCTGTCATTTTGTCTGAACCCAAGTCACATTATTTCATCAAGGTAGGTTTGGTTTCTGTGTACCACCATGGCTTATTGTGTTGTCTGAATCCAGGATCATGGTTTCCACCAGCCTGATATGCAACTGCTACGGAATTCTCTGGGAAGAGGGGAATCCAGCCTCTGAGTGTGAACCAATGAGGAAAAGGAAGCTGACATAGGCAGGGACTGATGCTCCTTGGGACTGAATTTCAGGCATGGTGGCTGATGGGATACATGCCAACAGTGGGACAACTGAGTGGAGAGGATGGGAACCATGATAAAATAGAAACCACTTGATAGTCTATTGGGCAGACCATGGTTAAAAACCCTGTGAACCATGGCAACCACACAGGATTACCTGTTGTGTTGCTTGAATGCAGCCACAAAGTATAGGGACAGTGGCACATCCTAGGAGAGAAAGAGACAGGCTTCTCAGGGGTCCCAAGCAAGACAGCCACAGCGAGCTTCTGTACAAAAGGAGAGTCCACGCTGCTCATGGGCTCAGCACTGAACAAGGGCAGATGAGTGTGGGGCGCCTCCTGCCCTTGCTCCCCTTCCCTAGACTTCTGCCCCAACCCTCTGACAAGCTTCTGCAATGATCCAGCCATCTTTTCTTGGCTTTTAGTTCCTGTCCATTTGCCCTGGCCTTCAGAAGCCTTTGAACCTCCTCCCCTATCACTGGGTCTCTTCCAGGGGTGACATCTCCCCACCCACACATATATTACTGCAACCTTCAGTACAACTTTTCCTATCGTTTAAGAACTGAGAACAGTGTTCACATCTTTCAAAGGAGATTGTCATGGTTCTTTAAGGCTGCTTTATGCATAGGCAACTGTGGCTGGGAGGAAGCAAGTTGTGCAGGCAGAAATTGGAGGGTAAAATTCTTGCGCAAGTGATTTCATAAGTCCCTCTAAAACCAGGAGAGTTCAAACTGAGCATGGTGGTGCTGGAGGGGTTTCCATTGCCTCTTGCAAAAGTCTTGCATGATTCATGACCCATCACATGGATTTTTACTACTCACTAGATCATCTGTCAAACATATTGGCTTTCCATATGGCAAGGTAGGCTGTTACCTGCAAAAGCTCATTCCACAATGCAGTTACTATACTTAAATGTAGATTTTTCCACTATATGGGATGCTGATTTTCATCTTGAGGAACAAATGCCATTTTGGAGGAGTGATCCAGTGGCTTATGGTGGTGCTTAAGACCATAATAGTAGAAATGCCATCATATTATAGTTTGAAGCGCTTGCTGCAGTAACTCAAGATAGGCATTTCAACCTTTTAGAAGTGTAGGGGGAGGGGGATTGTCAGGAAATCATCCAGTGGGAGGTGGTTAGAGAAAGGGGGCAGGGCCATAGAAAGGAATGAAGCCCTAGAGAGCCAGATTGGGACCCCAAGCAAGTTAGATTTAGCCTTGGGCATTAGATTCTGAGCATTTGGCCAACACAGCTCGTCTGTCCCTCTGGCATATATTCACATGAGTGAAGAAAATACCTGGGGAAACATACATACTGCAGTGAGCGAGTCAAATAAATATTCTTGTTCATAATAGTGGTACAGTTGGGACTTTCACCCTGTGCAAGGCAGGAGAGACACCTTAGATAGTAATATGTGCTTCAAAACGTGATAGGCCAGCCCTGCTCAGCTTAGATATTCTTTTTTTTTTTTAATGTAAGCCAAGGAACTTCAAATTGAGGCCTGACCCCAATTTGCACAAGTAGTGCCTGCCAGGGCCCATGTTAGTTATCTGTTATTACATTTGTATCCTGCCTTTCCTCCAGGAAGCCCAAAATTGTGTACCTGATCCTCCAGCATTCCATTCGAGGCATTAGTTGTATTACTTTGCTGTGGCTAAATCCATGATTCCAAGATGGGCATTTGTTAAGCATGCAGCGCAATGACAAATGCATAGTAATGTTTGCTCCAGTTCAGCTGCGAAATAGACTTTACCTACTTCTGTTGTGTGCCATCAAGTCATCTCCCTCTTAAGGTGACCCTATGAGTCAGTGCCCTGCAAAATGTTCTGTCCTTTTTGGCTGTGTACCCTTTCAGAGCTACAGCCAAAGGATCGGAGGTTTCCCCAGCAGAAACCAAGACAACTGAGGTTTTTTTAATATAAGTAACATGTTGGTCAAAAAAAAAAATGATGGTTGCATTCATTCAGCATCCTTCATCCCTAGGTCTACAAGTAGAGTAACAGTTCTTTGTCTTCCCATCAATATATCTGAAGAAATAGGAAACATATGTTTAATGTAGGGGTAGGCAGCCTGATGGTATTCAGATGTTTTGGTGTACATTTCTCACGGTCCCTGTCCATTAGCCATGCTGGCTGGGGCTTAGGGAACTTGTAGTGCAGAACATCTGCAGGGCACCTGGTTGCCAACTCTAGCCTAACGTATGCCAATCTTAATGGTAGAAAACAGAAGGAAATTCAGTGACTAACTTGTAGCCCATTGGTTTCGATGGGCCTAATATAAGTATGGATCTAAGCCATAAATCAAGATAATGGATCCAAGAGATTCACTCCTGTGCAGCAGCTTTTTAATATCATGATAGAAGTAGCAAATACCGGTTTAATTTATAGTGTAGGCAGAAGGGGTTTTTTTCTCTCTTCTCCAATATGATACTCTTGTAGTTGGAATAGGACAGGAAATTCAAACCCAACCACGTTTTTTTGAAAATACCTTTATTGCTATATTGGTTAATCTGCATTGCCAACAAAAATTTAAACAGATAGAATATGCCATCCTGAGATTTGCCCAATCAGATCAAACCATGGAATATAACAAACATGATTTAATAGGAAACCTCTTGCTATTGGTTGTCCCCAACAGTATTCATTCCTTTTCCAGGTCATTCTAATTTCCTTTGGCTCTGTGTATAAGATATTGAATGCTGTTTCGTTCTTGATTATATACTCAGAAGAACTGAAGTGGCATTAGTGGCATAGAGCTTGATCAAGGCAAAACTGTATTGGTGTGCTTCAAATGAAGGCTTGGACTGTTCTACTTAATCTTCTTTGCTGTCAGTGCAAGTTCTCTGCTCTGCAGCACTAGTTCATCTAGCAAGAAAGATGCAGCTGGAATGAAAGCAACTCTGAGAATGCCAGCAGTGGCACTAGTTTGAAATGCTGGACTGACCTCTCCTATTAGAAGTGAGTCTATATGGGAGGCAAGTATCTGGAAGAACTCAGAAGACCTGGGCAGGGAGAAGGTTTGACATCCAGACAGCTTCCTTCCCCAGGTATCCCTTCTGAGCTTTAAATAGTATCTTGCTTTACCGATATTATTAACACCCTCTTTATGGGTGATGCACAACCTGTGTTTAAAGATACAGTATTTGCATAATTTGGCCCTTGCTTAGGCAGAACAGGGGTTTGAGTATCTTTCAACCCAAGGACTGAATTCAATTTTGGAGAAGTTTTCAGGGGCTCACGTTCCATTTTAGCTTGAAGCTCTTACTGTTGGTGACAAGCGGCACAGAAGTCAGGAAACCACCAAATGATCTTGGAAAGGGTGTGTGTCAGGGGAACTACCAAACAGCAGATTATTAGTCACAGGGGCTAGAATTAGGGGGGATGGGGGTGCTGGAGAAAGAAACCACAATCAACCTGTGATTGAAGGAAAAAGGGGGGATTGAGAAAGAGGGTGGGGCAAAGATAAAGGGATAGATCCTTGTGGAGAACCCCAAGAGCTGAACGGAGACTCTCGGGTTGCAGAACTAGTGAACCAGCCACAGAGTGAATGTATCTAATAAATAATCACATGGTACCTAAAAGGAGGTACATAGTACATGGAACCCTCTCTAAATGGCACTCGCGAGTCTGAAGAGTGCTACTTATGAGGCTCGTATTGAGAAAGACTCTCACCAGAAAGAAGCACAAAGCTAGCTCACGTTACCTCTCAGGAACACTGTGTCTCTATATATTGCTTTCAATTTTCCATTAAAATCTAAAGCCAGAAAAGTAGATGCTACACATCCTTGTTACGGAGCTGCTGCTCAGCTTTTAAAGATTGTTGCCATTTCTGAAACAGGAATTCCCAGATTTTCAAACTAATGCTTTTTCAAAAATCTGCCTGCCACCTTTAGCTCATATTTAGCAATGGTTACCATACGCATTTTAGCATCTGCATGGGACGATCCATGCTCAGGGTACATTTTATTGGTTTACGGCGCTTTCAGGGGCTTAACCTCCACAGGGTTTATCGGTGCATGGCTGTCCCCTCTCACCAGTGATGGAGATGGATTGCGTTGCTTCTTAGTAATGGCCTTCTCAAGATTTAGAAGAGAAGTCGGTGGCTCCCGGAGTTCACTTGGCTCCATATTCACGCTGGCTGTCGGCTCTGCAACCACACCAACTGTCACGAGACCCGGCTGCCTGAAGCCAGATGGAGTGTGATAGGAGTCACTGGCAGCCTCGTTCATGCCATTGCTCATGGTTGGCACAACCTTCTGGATGCCTGCCGCTGTGCCCTCTGGGAAGGGAAGGTTGCCCTGGTTGGATTCAGCTTGGCCTGCTGGAAGAGGCCCTTCCTGGCCTTCTGGCAGGGCTTCAGACTGGCCTGAAGGGAAGAATCCGGCCTGCATTCCAGGGACAAGGACCCCAGCAAAGACCTGCGATGGTGTCTGCAAAAAACACAGTGCAGGGAACCACAGAACAGTTGTCAGGTTGTAGAATGGTCGCAGGGAGTCTCTAGGTACAGCAGAGCAGTGGGGAGGAACCTGCTGGTAAGAGGGTCAGACTGTCCTCCGAGACCAACCTGCTCATTGTGTCAGAGGATGGTGCTCCATCCTGAATACTGCCCCAGCTGCTGTCATCCACCTCACCCACTTTGCCTTTCCTTCCCTGTGCAGAGGAGGCTCAGGCAGCACTTGGAGGAGCAGCTGCCCTCAGGTACCTTCTTCGCACACCATTTACTGCCTGGTCAGGGTGGCAGCTGCTGCTCAGAGAGTGTCTTGGCTGGCTCCACCTGCTTGCAGGCACTGGCTGAGTTTGGTGCCTGCATTTCCTGGAATGCTTCACTGCTCTTTGACACAGCTGAGGCTAGACAGCGGGGGTAGGACTGAGGTCCCACTTCCCATAATCCTAGTCCATTGGCCATTGGCCATGCTGGTTGGGTTGATGGGAAGTGGAGTCCAACAATATCAAGAGGAATGCATTTGCCCTCTTTTGCCATAGAAGGTAGCATGCAGGTACACAGGAAAGCACTTGGGGTGATTTTGACCAATAGTATTATAAAATGAAGACAGAAATCAACTAATTTACCATTTCTTCAGAACTGAGCACAGCACCCTAAAGTCCCAAAAGAGGAAAAAAGGAATAGAATTAAAAAATCAAAGTCTATTTAATGAATTATTTTAAAAAATCAAATTGGTTTTTAAAACAATCTACTTTAATCAGGCATTATTAGTATTAGGGAAAGGGTCATGAAACTAATAACAATAATAATACCAGGTATGATGTCTCATAAGACTAGAAATAAATGAATAAAAATGCTACCAATTCAGTATTACTTTACAACACCCTTACAAGGTAGATCAGTCAGTATGATCACCTTCACTTTGTTAGTGAGGAGCAGAGGCTGAGCAGGTGAATTAATTGAGGCTAGTTACATGAGCAAATGGCAGAGGCAAATTCTGAAATGGGCTTCCTGCTTCAAAGGTCAGCTCTGCTAGCATCTCCAGCGGCTGGCTTTTTAGCACACATCTACCCTGTCTGGTGTCTTTTTTTCTAGTTTGACTGGAGAAAAGATAGCCAAACAGATCCATGCGTATAATACCCTATGTGTCTCAGCACAGAACCATAGGATGGAATCTGCTTTATACCAAGTCAGACTATTGGTCTGTCTAGCTCTGTATTATGAATTTGGATTGTCTTCTGTTTCCAACAGGGCTCTTTGTAGGTGTTCTTGGGATCTTCTGCATGCAGAACAGATACTACAGGAGAAAGTTCTCAGTCCTGCATCAGTGAGGGGTTGGACTAGATGACCTTTAGGTTACCTTCCAACTTTGTGATTCAAGCCCCCCCCCTTATTATGACAGTGGATATCTCTAGCAAATAATCATCAATTCTTTTTTAAGTCAAGGGGGATAGGTCTACATTTTTGAAACCCAAGTGATCTAGTCATTATGTTAAAAATCCTTTTGTCTCACTACGTACCTGTGGACTCATTTGTGCAAACAGAACTGGAAGCATCTGTAAGAAAAGTAGCAATAATTATATTTTGCTTATTAAGGTAGTTTTTGCTTAATTATAGATAAGCCTAATAGGGAAATTGGCTTTATAGTAATCCGAGGACATGATTGTCTGCTTCCGCTGCTCTCTTGCTGTTTAAGGCTGGTTCTTCTTTTTGTTAAGTGACATTATAATCTTGTGAATAGCTAAGCTGAATGGATACACATGGTTTTGCCTAATGGAACTGGTATTCCTTTGGGCAAAAGTTAAAGTTTCTGTTTCCATTAATGTATTTTAATTAGTATGAAGCTGATCTGGCCGGCTGGCAGAAAACTGCAATGCTTGGTACCACCTCCAACAGGTACCACACCTGTTTGATGCCAGCTCTGACCTCATTCAAATCCCTTCCCCAAACCCACCTTTCCTGTGAAGCCTCTGGGGCAACCTCCAGGGACCTATGCCCTGAAGCAGCCTGCCTCAACTTGTCTTCCAGAAGTGTTGGATCTCAACTCCCATCATTCCCACCCAGGATGCTGGACAGTGCCATTTTGCAGCACTGCAACATTTCAACTCTGCCTGCGGCTAAGCTAGACATGGACAACTGAAAGAACCCCATACTGCTTTCCTGTTTACTCCAACTCTACTTCCCTTCCCTTGCTGTGTGTCTGCCCCATGTCAACTTTTGGACTGTATGCTTCTTGAGGCAGAGCCCTCACCTCTGGTATTCCATGGCTTGCATCCTATAGTTTATTTCTGATGTTAATCTAATTTAAGTCCCATTCGTGTCAATTATTTTACTGAAGGTAAGATTAGGATTGGATACAACTCTATAACAAAGTCATGCACACTGGTTATGTTATCTAGCACTTGGAAGTTCACTCAAAAAAGAGATTAGGGAGTTGTTTTCACCGACTTTCTAGTTCCTAACCTGCAACTGTGCAGGCTCATCCAGACGGCTGAGTGTGCTTGAGCATTTCATCAATCTTGTGCTCTGAATATTGCATCACATTACTCACACCAATATTAATTCCAAATTCTACAAATTCCATAAGGGAAGGATAAAATGAGATATATATGGATTAGGTTCATTTCTGCTTTGTCTGAGTTTCACAGATTGTCACACATCTTCCTTTGCATTGCCTTCTCCTTGACAGAATTGGAATTTTTTTCTGCCCTTCAGAAAAGTCTGCAAAAAAAGTCTGCAGCAATTTACATAATGTTCACTGGCATGTAACATTTTCCAAGTATTTCTTAGCCCAGAATAAAATCAGTGAGCAGAACACATACAAAAAGAGTGCTCACATTAAAGGCTGAAGAGACATCAGAAGCTGGTAAACTGGCATTGTTTTAAGAGATGGTGTATATTATTAGCATATTTTCTAGTAAATTTCCTACAGCCAAATTTGCATACAGTCCTGGAAAGTTAAAAGAATGACCCACACTTCCACTGAAATCAGAAGAAACTGGTCTGCTGCAGAATCTGGCTCAAATTCATGGAAGGCTTAAGGCCTTTGAAAACAGTGGAACCTGTAATGGATTTCTCTGCTAATCTTAGGTGAAGGGTGCAGAGAGGTATGAATTGCTCCTCAAGACCAATTTCCTTTTGCTTTCTGTTTTAAGTTTTGCTTTCTGTTTTAAGAACAGAATTGGAGCCCCAATGCCTACTCTAGAGTAAAATTGAAAAATTGACGTAGCTGCTAGACACAGTATTGTGTGCTTTGGCCTTAGATTGCTAGAAGTGCCAAAAAATACTTACCGATTGTGGTGGCAGCAGCTGCTGTGGTACAGTCATTCCACCACCTGCTACGGGCAACATCTGTGTTGAGTATAATGCTCCTAAGAGTGCAGCAAGCTATATGACAAACAGGGGAGGGTTTGAAATAATTGGGGGAAAAGACAGAGATGAGACAAAACAATGTAACTTTGTGCAAAAGAATGTGCAAAATTCTGATTAAAATGCCTAGCCTTGGTCATGCTACATAAATATTTTAATTCCACCGTCAAAACTGTGGCAGATGACAAGGGCACCAGTGATGTCCTGTGAATTGGTGTTTTGCCCAACCAGTTCACATTTTGCAAGCTTGGCAAACTGTTCAGATTATGTCAAATGTCAAAAATATATGTATTTGTGCTATTTGCCAGGCAAGACAGGAATGGGTGCTGAACAAGACACTCAGGGAGTCTGGCACTTTCCTCTCAACAGTTACACCCTAACAGTGAAAACAGTGAGAACTGCGGCAGATAGAAAGACATCACTTGGAAAGTCACCAGAGCATCCAAGTGCCTTGGATAAAAGCCCTGGGGCCAAAGTACATGTGAAGTTAGTCTTCTCCATCTGGTGCCTTCCAGATGTTTTGAGGTTCAACTCCCATCAGCTCCAGCCAGTATGGTTGTGGGTGCTGGGTGGTGTCATCCAATCTGCCTGGAGGTCCAGATCTAGGTTACTTGTGCTTGCTGGCGAGTGGGAGGATGTTCAAAGTGGCCACTTCAATTTTGAAGGAAAAGCAGCTGTGAGCCTCTGATTCAGCATCATCCAGAGGAGGGAGGACTCCCAGTTTCCTGCTAGCAAATTCCCCATCCTAGGCCTGCTACTAGCCCTCATGGTTCTGTCAGTAGCAAACTGCTCCTTTGGGAGCAACAAGAGCCAGGGCAAGGCAAGAAGCTGGAATGGAGCACCTATCCAGCTGGAGAACATGTTCCCAACTGGGACCATATGGTAGCTTTTTCTTTAAAAATAAAAGCAAATATTTTAAAAAGGGCTATTTTTTTATTTTTTTTAGTGTGAATAATGTGAAGAGAATAACAGATGGGAGAATGGGGGAATAACGGAGGTCCAATCCCATTGAGGGTTTTCCACCTCTACGCTCATTTAGGCTCATGATCTCTCCTGCATATGAGCCTTTTTTCCACCTTCACACTTTTCCAAACTGCACATTTTTGAGCCCTTTTCCAAGCATGCACCCCAAGTGTGCATTCCCCCCACCCCCAGACTAAAGAATGAAAATGCCCAAAAATGTTCTTTTTTAGAAATATACTTTTATGCAGGAGTATATTTTTGGCATGGAGTCTTTGAAAGCAAATGCAAGGTGTTGGTTATGACCTATAAAGCCCTAAACAGCTTGGGACCTGGATATCTAAAGGAACACTTGCATCCATATATGCCCTCCCGCCCCTTGAGATCAGCAACGGATGCCCTTCTCCGGGAACCCTCTGTGAATGATATTAGGAGGGTGAGTACCCGGAGGAGGGCTTTCTCTGCGTTGGCGACCCATCTATGGAAGGCGCTCCCCAGAGAGGTCCGCCTGGCACCGTCATTGTTTGTTTTTCAGCACCAGGCTAAGACCTTTTTATTTAAAACTTATTTTACTTGCTAAATTATTGTATTTATTAGGATTTTAAATTAGCCGAGAATGCACTGGGGCTTTTAAATGTTTTTTTTTCTTTTAAATTGTTATATTGTTATTGTTTTTGTATTTTTTTTTTATATTTTCTGTGAGCCACCCCGAGGCTTTGTTGCGATGGGGGTGGCATAGAAATGTTTTAAATGAATGAATGAATGAATGCAAGTTAAGAAAATTGTGAAATTTTCCTGACAATTGTGCCCCTGGCCATATTCAGTTTTGGACCTGTGCACAGGCCATGCTCGCCCAATTTGTGAACAGAGACAAGATTCTTGTAGATCCCTACAAGTAGTTTGGCCTTCAGTGAACCATCCAGAGAGCTTCGACTACTGGATAGTATAGAAAGGATATCAACAAGAAATGAATTCAATCTCCCAACGACATCATTTCACAAACTCAAATAGCACTAGTAGAGGTATGTTGCATCTGTGGAAGCATCTGTACATGAAGTTTGTGTGATGTGCAACTAGTTGTGCAATTACACTTGTGCAAACATGACTTGAGTTGGATGTTCCTCTTGTGCATGGTCTGGAATGACTTTGTTGGATACTAGCCATATATACAGGCCCAAGGATCAATTTAATTTATCTGTCAACATATTGCTAAATCTCATGTGTTGTTCTGGTCAGATTTTCTTTCCTTGTATCATTTTATTGGCTGCACTGATATAATCTTAACCATTTTGTTCTACCTCCTGGACATTTGTTACCTCTGTTGCTGGACTTTTGCCTATGTCATTATTGTATCATTAGTATATCTGTGGGGTAGGTCTATTTATTTATTTATCCCTCTTCATGTTACTCGGATGAAAATCAGTAATGATCCATTAAAAGAACCATTAAGACAAGACAAAAGTCTTTGTGTGCTAGGAGTGTATTTGCTCTTACAGAAGACAGCTATGAATTTTCAGGGAGTGGGGTTTTACTCTTAAATTTGTGGTGTCCAAGGACCATTACAAACAAGCAAGCAAGAAAGCAAACAAACAGCAGCTTTGCATTCCTAGAACAGAACACTCTTAGCCATGATGCTGCATCATAATGCCTTATCTTTCCAAAATGCATTACTGAGGAACAAATATGGCTTCCTCCCATTTATAAGAGTAAGAAAGAAAGTCTGGAACCATCTCATGCTGCAAGGTCCTATATGCCTCTCCTGAATTCTTAGATTTAGCCCATCCCTGAATATTAATCTGCTTTTCAGGAGAAACTTTGTTTTGTGATGTCCAAAGGACTCACTTAAGTATGACTAAGTCTTGAGCCAAGTAATAATCTTCCAACATTTAAAAAATAAATTATACTCTTGTATTAGGAAACAGCTATAATACTATCTTTTTGCACTTGAACTGCAAAACAAGTGCAAAAAGAATGCAACACCTTCATTCTTGTTCAGTAACCATCTTGCTGTGAAATCCAATATATAAAGTGGCAAGCTTAAGAAAAGGCAGACAAGAACTTACATAATTTATATCTATTGGAAACATCTGAGTTAGTGGCAGGTTGAAGGCAGGAACATTCTGTAACACACACAAACACAGAGCTTTTTAGAAATTGTTGCCATCCTATATAGAAACATAGAAACAGAGCAAGTCAGAAGAGGCCTCCCGGGCCATCTAGTCTGACTCCCGGCTCCAGCCAGCTCTGCTCACGACACGCCCACTATGTGCTTGTCCAGCCTATCTTTGAACATCCTCATCAATGGGGCTTCAACGACCTCTCATGGAAGCCCATTCCATACCCTCGGGGTAGACAAAGTCCTGTGCACATCAGGGAGCCTCAGGCCTGGGAGCCAAATCTGGCTTTCCTGGGGTCCCAATCCAGCCCTCCTTCAGAAAACCATGCCCCTTGTCTTGCCCCTTTCCCCCAACCACCAATCATGGGGTACTTTCCCCAACTTTTGCATAACTTTCTCCCATTCTAACAGGTTGGAACACTTTCCTAAAGATGAATTCCCGACAGAAGGAATGTGGAGCTAAACTGTGGTGGCATTTTGAGCCGCTCCCCTTTCCCTTTGGCCTGCCTGCCACTGGATGTCCCTGATGATGAGGCAGCTAATGAGGTATTCACTGCCCCTCCCTCCCACATGGCTCTGCTGGAGACTCCAGCAGGCTGGTGAGGGTTAGAAAGGTCTCCTACTCCCTCCTATGGCCTAGTCACTGGCATCAAGAGCATTAATCTACAGTCTGATAGGTGGAGTTGTATTTTGACCCCTTCCCCTTTGCTGTCAGCCATGCCCATCACTGGAACGCAGCTCAGGAACCCTGAGCGTCTTTGAAACAGTTCAGCCCTTTGGGCTTAGGCTTGTTATCACTGAGAAATCAGTTCACAACCTAGAAGTATATCCAAATATTTGCATTCTGATGTTCAATCAAATAGGGCAGGAGTGGGAATCTGTGATTCTTAAGATATTGTTGGACTATAACTTCCATCGTCCCTGAGCATTGGCCATGCTGAGAGCCGAAGTTAACCACATTGCAAAGGCTACATGTTTCACATCCCCAACAGAGTATTCAGAATATCATTTCTTAGCGGTTCAGGACACCATATTTACAACAAACTGCAGAACTCTACTTGAATTTATTTCCAGGTGTGTTGTTCATAACAACAGCTCTCTGTATACTACCAGATTTCGCTTGTCCCTTGGTGACCATATTACTTAGACTTCTCATTTTTAAAAGTTATTACTGAATGGCTTCTTGATGCCTGGTTCACAGCAGTGAAAAACACAATGTGTGCTTTAGTTTTATTTGCTAACATTGAAAAAGCTAAAACAAAAGCCATGGTTCTCAAATGTCAGTTCAGTTTAATTGGACTATTTGTTGAAATAAAACTATGCTAGATCCGCATTACAAATTTGAAAAGTGTGAACCAGTTCTGTTCTGCTTTCAGGATGGCACAAACAAATCTTTAAAAATACATATTTTAAGAAGTTTTCTTACTTGTACATTTGGAGTTCCCAGCTCTGATGGGAATTGTGGGGAAAGCACTGGGAAATTCGCAAATGGCCATTCAAGTGGTGTTACCTGAGAGAAGTGAGAAAGATGCATATTGATCAATGCTTCCTAGCAAGATAGTTAATGCTGGAGAAAACTTGCAGTGTAATCCTATAGATACCTATTCAGGAGTAATCTTCGTTGAGTTCAGTGGGACTTGCTCCCAAGTTAATGTGCACAGCAAGGTTAGGTAACTCTTTTGGGCTATGGGCACATTTAGTAATGTGGACAGTTGTCCTGCGTATCACCACAGAAAGGCTGTAATGGGGGGTGCGGCAAAGGACAAGTAACAGTTCAAAAGGCTTGAGAGCACAACAGAAGTGGATCTGAGCCCCCACATGTGAAACGATGCCTTTAAACCCAGGATTTTCAGCACCAACAGAAATCTGTGTCACAGCAGCCATAGCCGCTGGTAAGAAACTGTGTTCATTTTGTAAAAAAAAAAAAAAAAAAAAAAAGGAAGTAACTACACTGGCACCAAGGAAAGTATCCAGGGGTATATTTCTGCTCATGGGGTATGCAACTGAAGTCTGAATTAGCAATATGGATAGCATAGGTTGAAGGATCGAGATGCTGACCATGAGATATGCATGCACCTCTGATGTTCTTAGCGATCATCAGAGCCATAGTCAGTTAGGATGAACGATCTTCAGCTGTAAGCCTAAACACACTTCTTTGGAGACAAGTTCAGTTGAAATCAGCAAGACTCATTTCCTGGTAAATGAGCTTAGAATCAAGGCATTTTTCTCTGGAAAAACACATGAGACCTGGCGCTATGGCGATGGCAGGGACTTCTAGGGTCTTTCTAGCTCTGATTCTAAGTAAGACTAACCAGCAACCTAATCCACCACTACTCCAGTTGCTGCTGTAGGAATGGGATTATATTGTCACAGAACCAGAGTCACTATGATCGTATCCTCCCTTCCTTATGCAGTACAGAGGGACAGAACTGGAATGCTTAGTTAGGGTTAAGAAATCTACCCCCCTCCTTTTAGTCCATCCTGTGTCCTCTCCCTGCATGGTCAATTTAGCAGCACAAATTGGGCACTGGGGAGAGAACTGCCTTCCCGTACTGCACCCAGCTCCCTTGTCCTGAGCCAGAAAGCAGATGTACATGTAGTCAGCCATGGCAGGAATGGAAGCATAATTTTCACAGGCAACCAAGCACCAGCATCCCCCTAGAATTTGAGCCAGATGTGCCTCCAGCTCTGCCTTCATGCTCTAACTCAAACCATGTGGCCACGGGATTCGGAGCCCAGCCCACCTACAGCATGCTGTTTAATGGACCCAGACAGACACGTTCTACCGGGCCATTCCTTCCGAAGCCAAACAACCTGCTGATTGGAGGCCGGCAGGAATACCAGCTACCATAGCAACACGCCGCACAACAGCGACACATGAGATGACTTTCCTCCCTCGTGCTTACCTCATTTGGCAACTGATTTGCTAATGGCGTCTGATCTGGAACCAGTTTTGCTGGAGGCAGCCCGACCCCAGGATTTGGCTTTTGCTACCATCAAGAGAGGAACACAAATTAATAATGAAAGACATGGTGTGTTTATTTTGTCAAAGATCAGACTACTATTTGCTCATTATTCCCCATCTGAGTGAAAATGTTTCCTCCGATGGATACAAGAAATAATTCACTTGGTCTCTGTGAAAGGTATGAAGTATCTTTTTGATTTAAGCACGATCCTAGGCAAGTTCAGACAGAAAAAGGGCCTACAATCCCCATTCAGTCAACCACAGAAACAAATTGGATAAGCTAGTGGAATGTTGCTTGTGAGCAGTTCAGCTGTGTAGAATGCAATTTCACTCACATGTACTTGCAAGCAGGGATGGGTGAAGATTTAATTTTGTTTGGGGTTTTGATAAGGACTTACCAAAAATTAGCAAGATTCTCTATAAATACAGTGGAAAGAACTTAAATTTAAAAATTTAAGATAATGTGGAAGGAGACAAAACTTGCAGATTCTTCCCTCCATGCCCAGGACCTGGAATGCCTATATTTCAGAAGTCAGGGTTTGAATCCATATGTATTACCATCTTTTAGGGTCCCCTCCTTTTTTAAAAAAAATAGTATTCTCCTTTTTAACATTTTTCTTCACCCCTTCTCCAATTGCCATTCCATAAGTGGACCATTATGAGCATCCCCATAAGACTGCACCCTTAGGGAACAATAATTCTCTTAAAGAATGTTTGCAGTCTAGTTTCTATGAAGAAAGGGGAAACTGTCTTCAATTAGTTTGGGATTAAAATCCCTAAGGACAGACATCACTTTGTAAATTGGACTAAGGGAAGCAGTTCCAGAAAATAAAGGTACTAAGAGAACAGCAGTCTCAGAGATAAGAAGGCTGATTCTGCTTGTACGAATAGAAGTTATGTCAACCAAGTTCACCTGAATCAAGGATTAAGATTCAAGAATTCTATTGCTAGGCAGTAATTATGTATGGATGAAAAAGATCTTCTCTGTGCCTCAAAAGAATCTGGGTTTGCTTTGCAAGCTTTTCTGAGCAGGCAAAAACACTGTGGAGTTTTGAAAGTGCTCACAAGGAATAGTTGCAAAAATGGCAGGCATGCACACACAGGCATACAAATCGTTCTGTTCGTTTCCTTCCTGCTGGTTTCATCTTTGCCCTTTACTAGCAGAATATTGAATGTCCAGAGCCATTCTTTACAGCTGAGCATCCCTGCGCTTTCCCATCATCTCGTGCCACAATCAGTAGGAGTGGGAGGTGAGCACCATGTTGTATTCAGACCTAGGGATGCTGGAGAAATCTGCAATGGATTCAAATGAATTCAGTTTTCTGTGACTCTCGCTTGCAGATTCTGCAGCAGACTGGCTTCCTCTGAGTTGCATAGATTCCACAACTTACAGACTGTATTTTAACATGGGGGTGGGGGTCATGTACATTTGCACTAATGTGCATTAATGCTAATGCATACTTGTGCTAATGCACATTTACACAAGTAAAATGAGATTTCCATATATCATTGAAACATCTGATTCTGTCAGTGAGTAGAAAATGGAATGAAAGTTTTCTGACAACACATGAACTCCAAATGGAATGGCTTTAACATCACAGATTCTTAGTTGGGACAAGTTCAAAGGGGACTTTGTCCAGCTCGTATATGGCTAGGGCCACCTTATAGGCTGAAACAGGATCAGGACCACCCTGCATGCGAGGTGGACACTTGGATTTAAAACTCTGCCTTCTTGAACTCTCAACCTATCCCTGACTGTCATTTGCCTTGGATGCTTCCCATGTCCAATCTAATTATCTTTCAGTCAAATTATATTCCATGTCAGCACACAGGAATACAGACCAGATGTTATTCTGCTGCAGTGACTGAACATTTTTTGTTGCTGTTTCAAATATAATACAGTTAAAACTTGACATTTCCTTTACTAGCTCACAACCCAAAGGTTTTATTTTAAACTTTATGGCAGTACCTCTGTCCGCTGTGGAATGTTCCCCATGGCTCTGTATCTTTGCATCAGTTGTAATATCTGGTAATTGAATCATAGACAGTTTCACACAATGTGGACCATAATCTGAATTCTTCATTATAATCAGAGGGATTATACAATTCGTATAGCATTATGTCATTATTTGCCATTTTTTTCCTTACACATAACACATACACTTAAGTCTAGGAGATGACTCATTTCAACTGAAAATTATCTAGAATGCCCATGAATAAGGAGAAACAATTACTTTAACAAAGGCTTTGAGGGAATGGTTTAACAGCATGAAAATAAATGGCATACTAACACTCTTACCTAGCCATACCTAGATCAGAACTCTGCAGAATGATATATTGAAGAAACTAGAGATGTCTCAGGAAACGCAAAATCCTGCATCTCTGTTTTAAAGTATCCATTTTGGTAGCATTTCTGTACACATCTGCTGAAATCCCACTGATACCAGTGGAACTGAGGCGGCAGTCCTAAATGTATTTACTGCAGAGTAAGCTGGGTTGAAACTAGAAGGACTTTCTTTAGAGTAAATGTACATAGAATTGCATTGTGAAACTGCTAACTGTACACAGCAGCCCTCCCCAACCTCATACCCTACAGATCTCTTGGGCCACAACTCCCCCATCCCCAGGCAGTGGTGTCAAAATGTGATGCCAAGCTGGGCATGGAAGGTGGGAATTGTCCAACACACTGGGAAGGTTGCCAGTTTAGCAAAGACTGGTGTTCAGTATCGTAGCCACAAATATTTATTCTTTTCCTTGTCCATTCCATGATGGAATAGAGTTAGAAAGGGGGACCTGTGGCCTGTAGCCTTAACCTGGACCCCAGGCCAGTCCTTTTGACCCCTCCCCAGTGTCCCAGAGAAGGTAGAGGCGGTGGGAGAATGGCCAAACTTGCATCTCAGTGGACTTCAATCTGTTTTTTGTAGCCAAGGAGAGCCCAGACAGAGTGATGCAAACTCGGGACGAAAGAGCTCCAGCCAACATTTCAACCAAGGATCTAATGCCATCAAGGAACAGGACCCTGCCCCTGGAGTCGCAGGTGGGGCTCTATAGCTCACATTATTTGGCCAGCAGAAGTGCAGGAGTGAGCAACTGGGCCCTGAACAATTCTCCCCTGCTGCAATTGATGGATCAAGGAAAGAGGGAGGATGGATATGAAGCAGGATAATCCAATCCCTAGATCTGGTGCTACCATCAGGTAAGGGGAAATGGACACTTCAAGGTGCATTATGTCAAGGCAACTGGAGGCAAAGCAGGAAGTGGGAATGTATGACTCAGGGGACATACTTTGTTGGGTGATTCCCTGCACAAGCCCATGGAATTGGAGATGTGTCTGGGCAGCTCCCATTCACATCAGTTCAGGCTTACAAAGAGCATCCCTTGTTATTTGTGGGAATGTGGAATGCCATTTGGATTTTCTTCCTCTGGCACCAAAACATCATGGGGTAGCCTTGCTCTTCTTGCTTACTCACACCAAATGCCGGCCAGGCTTTTGTACCATACAGCACACTGAGGAATTCTGGAAATCTCAAATTTTTGGTGGGTTCTTATACGGCAGGGAAAGATGGCATGAGGCATCCTAGATGTTTTGACCTTCAACTCTCATCAGCCCTAGTCAGCCTAGCCAGTGGTGAGGGATCATGGGAGTTGTAGGCAAGACATCTGGAGGGCTGCAAGTTGCTCAGTCTTGTAATAAATTTTGGATTTTCAATGTTTTCCCCCATGAATAAGCATGGCTGCCAGTGTTTTATTTCTCTTACTGTTTCACGAAATGGTACATTCTTGTAAGAAAGGCTGCATATAGACACAACCCACTGCTTACTTCTCTACTGTTGCTTGTAGCAAGGCGTCTACCAAGTGGTTTGACCTGAGAAGGAAGGAAATAAATGCTAGATGCATTACACCAAATAGATCTAAACTTCATTTTATTGTCTCTTATTATACATACTTACCACTTTGTAATTCTATGATTGTTTACACTTTCATAAAACTCAGACATGCCAAAGTAGCTCCTGAAGGCTTGGAGTATCTGGGCATCTCTACCTAAGAGCTCTGACAGGGCAAAGTCCTTCACAGAACATCAAGTAAAGTGACCTCAGTATCATAAAGACAAATCTGAGGGATTGGGGAGCTAGGAAAACTGGCACTACACTTCTGTCCAGTGAAATGAATTAAGGCCAAGAATCATGACAGCTTTGTGAATTGCACCGTGATAGTGGTGGCATAAATTAGCAGATGAAAATGAGATGGAAAAACGTGGTATAAATCAGCAAATGAAAATCAAGTGCTGATGGATTTTTGTGGTTGCATTCAAACATATAACTCTTTCTAGGTCTGATAAATTTGCATATTTCCAGTTCTTCAACATGTGACAGGCCATTCATGAAGGGGCATACCTATATTATTAAAAACACATTAAAATACACTGACATGAGACCCTGATCCCTCCCTGTTTGTTGTTTCCTTGAACAACCATCTGCCCTTGACAAATGAGACAGCTTGACTATTTATTTATTTATTATATTTCTATCCCACCTTTCTCTCATTGTGGAACTCAAGGTGGCCACATGCGATTCCCAGGTGGTCTCCCCTCCAAGCTCAAGCCAGCCCCAAACCTGCTTAGCTTCAACATGGTGGATGACCTATTTGCCTTTAGACCATGCTCTGTTTGCTAGGGAGTTCGTACCTTCAGGCAAAACATTGTGGCCAGACTTTCAGCGAATATGGGCCAAGAAAAAAGAGCAAAGATGAGCACAGTAACTGCATTGCCTCTATGTCCACCTTCACTACACTCTGGGAAGAAAGTCAGTCACACTTTTAAACCAATTTCCAACTGGAACTCTGTTGCCCTTGAAAATGTGCACTTCTCTGAATTTTGCGATTTTGCAGTGGAGTTGTTCAGTCAAAGCATGTGTTCAAGCTATGCTTATTGGAAAATGCACACAAAAAATGTGTATATATTAGGAAAATTGTTTGCTCAATTGTACACTAGGCAAAAAGTCATGCAAATAGGCATCTGTTAGAAGAAATGTGCACAAAAATACATACGAATTATCATATAAACTTTTAAAAAATCCCTAAGTTACTATTATTATTAAATATATTTCTTTGCTGCCTTTCAAAGCAGAAGCAAACCAACATACAGTAGTAATAAATAAAACATACCAAATTTAAGACTGGAAAAGTGAGAAACTGAGAGAGACCGAAACAGACAAATTTATCCATCCCTGCACAGGAGGAGAGTTACAAGGATGGGGCTAGAAGGGCTGGAGTGCTTGTCCTCATTTTGGAAAAAAAATGCCTGAATGGGGCTGCTGATGTGGCACTATCCAAGCACACAGTGCTTTACTAATTATCATAAGCCATAACAGCAAGAAGAAGAGGCACTATGTTACATTCTTCCCTGTTCTTGGTTGGCATCTGAGCCCTGTTCCCTGTCTCCATCTATGGAAGAAAATTTAGTGCAAGATGCTGGCAAACTAATGGCACAATATTTTTTTAATGTAGAAAAAGCCCTACAGTTCCCAGTATTCCCTATCCGGCGTGGTGTTTTTCTGTCTAAACAAGGATTTGAGGTTGCAGTGCTACTCGTATAGGTTAAAAAAAATTATACACATTTTTGTGTATATTTGTGTATAAAATGTAAAAGAAGGAATCCTTAAAACAATAAAAATTAGAAGGCTTAAACATTAACAATACAGGATCATGGAGATGAGACTCCAAAGAATCCACTGGTCTCCCAAATGATGTTCCAAGGTCATAAAAGTGCAATCTTGTGAATGTTTAGACAGAAAAAAGCTCTTCAGTTTCAAGGATTCCTCTGCCAGCATGTTTAGATAGGACTTTTTCCCTATCTAAACATGCATAGGTTTGCTCCCTAAAACATCTTTTTATTTGGTTCTTCTGTGGTCAGATTGCTTTTACCCTAGGCATCAATTAAGCAGGCAAGCTGCTTCTTCCCTGGAGATATTATTCCTAATCCCTTTCAGTCTCTCAAAACTTGTGTGCGCGTGCACAAACACACATCTCACCGTCTGCCAAATTAGTTGGAGAATCAAAAAATGCAAGACTGTTTTCTGATGAACTAGAACTATCAGATTTGGTGCATGTCAAATCCAAGGCATCTTGAAGTCACCCTGATTACTCCAAAAATCTGAAAATGAGACATTTCCACCCCTCTTCTTCAAAGGACAGACACAAACATAAACTGTAAGAAGGCATGCAGTTAAGGTATTTTAGGCCACCCAAAAATGTGGTAAATGCATAGCCCGAAGACTCTTTTTTTCCAGAAAAGACTCATGTGTCTGCCCTTAGAAACTTTAAATCCCCCCTGAGGGGGGTATTTCTGGGCCTTTCTGGAAAGCTGAAATTTGGCATGTACACAATTCACACTGCTATGGTTATTAGAACAGGGAGAAATCAAGATATAGCTATGTCTTTTCTTAGAAATAGTGGGAGGAGAGGGAGTACCCCCAAACAGTTAAAAGTATTTTCAAGCCACCCAAAAGCTGACATTTGGGATATACAAATGCTGTTTACTAGAACAGTCTGAAAATACAAGATTTTTGCAGACACTTGGAATATGACATTCACCTCCTAAGAGAGGCAAACATTCCAGTTCAGAATGCACTACACTGCCTCTGGAGCAGGCGATCCACAGAGAGACTTGGATTTAGGGCAAAGATGCTTCCAAGAGCTGCCAGAAACTTCTGCCACATGATATGCTCAGACTATTTTGCTCGAACTTGCTAGGAGCGTATTTTATGGAAACAAGCTTGTGAGTACGCCAAGGAGATTAAAAACAACTTACTGGTAAGGAGAATGTCAATCCCAGAAGAGAGAGCAGCAGAACTACAATCTTCATATTTCAAATTGGTACCTGTGTGAAGGAATCAGAAATCCAATTTTCTCCCACTGCCTTTTAGGTATCATAACTGCCAATGCAAATGTCTACCTTGGCATTATAAACTACTCTTACCGTGCTGTTGTATTGAGAAGAAATAATAGCTTTGTCCTTGCTCTTTTGTTGAAGTTCTTTCTTCTCCCAGTCACCGTAGCTTTGTGGAGATGCAACCATCCCCTCACGTGAATTTAAACTCTCTTCCAAGTGGGCAGTCATCAGAACAGAGGCCACACGTAATTCTTTGTGTTTCACGCGATACCCAACATCTCATTAGCAGAGAAAATCATTATGTCACAGAACGTCTGTGGTAAATTTGCGGGAAATCTTTTCTTACTGAGGTGGAACAGAGTAACGCATGGAATACATGAAACCAAATCATGTATCTATAACCAACATATCAGGCCCGCATTTTCTGGGCCAGGCACTATATGAAACACCATTCATACAACTAGCAATCATACTAATGGCCTTTCAAAATGTACATTGCAGAGCCACAGTGGGAGACAAAGCTTTAAACCCTCCCTGCACCTTATGCCATGATCCCAAAAGGATTGGGATTCCTATTCTAAGTCTTACATCTCCCATGCTGGCAAGGGAAAACTGGGAGCTATAGGGCTTCTTTCAAGTATGCATAGGATTGGTCCTAAGCTGAGGGAAAGCCCTTCATGTGACAGTTAACTGTGTGGATGATGGTTGGATTTAATTTGGTTCTGAGGGCAGAACTGGTGGACATGGGCAACATGCAGAGAAAATAAACCTTGTGACAATTTCAGACCATGTGTGAGTATTCCTCAGAAGGACCTAGTTTCTAGACAAGTTTGGTTTTGTGAGAGATGTTCTAGCCAAACCCACTAGGTGTGGGATATGAACTCAGAAAGAGTCTTCTGCATGCATATTCATAGAATCATAGAACAGTAGAATTGGAAGAGGCCCTGAAGACCATCGAGTCCAACCCCCTGTGGTTGCAGGACACCACGTTGCACCATCCCACTCAGATGGCTGTCCAGTTTCCTAACTCAAGAAAGGACTGCATAGCTTTTCCTTGTATGGCTTCTCCTTTGAACCACTTTGGCTATATGAGTGCCAAACTCCAAAACAAAAAAGGGTTATTTTACTTTAAATGTTTATTATACTGCAACCTTTGATCAAATGGACCCAAAGGTGACTTCCAGTAGAACAGGGCTCTTGAACCTCAGTTTCCTTGGCCAAGTCTGGCACACTGAGCATGTCTTCCTGGGCCCCTGGCTTTTCCCAGGAAGCCATGGTCTCACCCCAGGCTCTCCCATCCCAACCACCAGTTGTGGGGTGCTTCCCCAGACTGTGTGTGTTTCACATCCTAAAGGTAGGGATGCTCCAGATGACCTCATCCCTTTTCTCCTGGCCACTTAGCATATAGTGGCTTTCTGAATTTGTGCAGTTCCTCTGCCCCAATTATAAGAGGCTACCATGCTTCTCCTAAGGATTTGTTACCACCAGTAAAGCTTTCAGCTAAAACATGTTGGCATTGCTGCTATTTTACCCCTGCCCCTTTTGCTTTCAGCCCCAGAGACTGCTGGAATGCCACCTCTGAGAGTTTCTTCAAAATGGAATTCAGCCCTTGGACAGAGAGGAGAGGTGTCCAATCCTGCCTAATCTTGGAAGCTAAGCAGGATTGGGCCGGTTAAAATCTGGATGGGTGACCCCAAATGCTGTGAACCACCCAGAGAGCTTTGGCTAGGGCTGGTATAGAAATGGAATTAGCAACGGCAACAGCAGCAACAACAACAACAGACCTGCAGCTGAATGCACCACAAAGCACCATGCTTGCCAATGCAGATGCTGGGAGGGGTGGGAACAAGATGCTAGTCCCTCCCCTCAAATTTCTTCCCTTCAACATCGCTGCTATGCTTGCCCTTGCCACCTTTCTGGACCTGTGACAGGCCCTGCACTCACTCTAGCTGTGAAGGTGCAGAGCCCCTCCCATCCTGAACCCTCCAGATGCATGGAACTGCAATTCCCATCATTCCCAGCCAGCATGAAAAAAGGCAAGAAAATACAGCCATAAAGCTAATGCCTCAAAATGCTTCTGCTGAGTGAATAATGGAATGTGATTGTAATGCATAATGAAATGAAAAGAAAGAAGTCTTAAAGCAAAAACAAACAGAATAATGTTTGTCCTTTTTTCAAGGGGAAAAGGGTCTTGCACAGTCCTCTTGCCTATTGATCAGAAGCGATGCTATCTTGCTTGGGTCAAGTTTCATCTTGTTTGCCCAAATACATCAGTCCCCATTCAAGCTTGCATCTCTGAAATCTGATCTTTAGCAGAGAGGGAGTCCATTGTCGTTGGCACTCTCAGATCTCTAGACAACTCTGGTCACCACCGTGGTGGCTTTGTAGCCAGTAATGTGATAATAGATGCAGGCACTTTCATAAAAAGACTTAACGGTTAAGCAGGGCTGTGTTGACCTTAAGGGATTCCATTCTATAAGGGATGGGGTAGGCGGGATGGATGGAAAGCAGGACCACTATACCCGTTCTGCTGAAAAATGAGCTCCTTCAAGCTCCATCGGCTGCTGCCATCAACTAACACCATTTGCTTCGTTTCAGTGGTAGAAAAGAAGGGGAGAAAGGCCACTCCATCAGGCTCCTGCCATCACACCATTCATGGAATAAAGAATGTCCTGGATAAGGATGGCCTCCAGCACCCCATCAGCTGCCTCCACACACACGGATGCACCTCATCACCAGCACTGGTCTGGGATGGAAGTGGTGCAAGCAGTTTCCGCTACACTGTGTTTTGTAACTGGGCCACGACCTGACTCTACATGTTTTCATGGCAATAAGCCATGTGGAACTTGGTTAGGATCTGCTGCACAAAGCCAGCGTGGTGCAGTGGTGAAGAGCACGGGACCGGGACTCAGGTGATCTGGGTTCTAGTCCCCGCTCAGCCATGGAGCCAACTGGGTGACTTTGGGCCAGTCATGGACTCTCAGCCCAACCTACCTCACAGGGTTGTTGTTGTGGGGATAAGATGGGGAGCAGGAGGAGGAAGAGGAGGAGGAGATATTCCACTTTGAATTCTGTAAGAAAAAAAGTGGGATATAACGCTAATAAAGAAATAAATTTCTGTAAGACTGGGCCTTAAATCTCAGGTCTCCTCCTAGGGCATTCTCTCTGTCGCTTTCTCTAATGTGGATTGCTTTTCATCAGCAATAAATACACTTCTTGAAAGGTAAGTTGAAATATTAACTTTTTCTGATCTTCTCTTGCCTTCCCTGGCCTCTTCTGATTAATCTTTAGTTTAAAGGGCAAATGAATGTCTTAACAAGTTACTTCTTGTACCGAACCCACACCTAATTCCAAAATTGGCTAAATGGCCATCATATTATAATTAATGGTCTAGGCATGGCTAAAATGTCACCCATTTCTTTTTGTTTTAAAAAAGTGCGGAGCTGCAATAGAGATAAATGCAGCATTAGCAATGCAGAAAACATAGTTAATTAGCTTGTGATAATACAGTGGAAAATGACAGATCCAACTGGTGGTGTATAATTTTGCTTTTCAAACTTTTCTCTAGTATACGAAAAACCCCTAAAGATTCCCACCTGGGTTAAGAATTGCATGTAATAAATGGGCTATTCTCTAGAGAAATGTGCAGTAAGCGAAAATATGATTCATATCAGACTTAGTATAACTACACATAGTGGGTAAAAACCAGTCAACACATTTGATTCTGAAGATACTCCTAATCCCATACCGATCTTCTAAAATAGTGTTGGATTTGCATTGCCAATTAAGGGTTTCCTGCACACCTTGTGACTAGAACAGTACTCTCACCTTGACTCACAATACTATATGGGCCACCAAAATCTGTTTAGCTGATCTTAGCACCTTAAGGTATTGTAAGGGCACATTGCACATTCACACTTCACCTGTGGTGGCCCCAGGTGAGCAAACTGCCCCAGCATCACAGCAGAGGAGAAGATGGTCGGAGAGCAGGAGATTTCCACATACCCATCCTACAAGAGATAAAGCAGAAGTCAGAAGGAGGTTGGATCAGGAGAGTCTCCATACTGTTGGCATCAAGCCATCTGTGGCTCAACTCATCCTTGCCCACCCTGTTCAGTAAAATGTTTCTCCTGTGTGCCCCTCTTCTATTATGTTTCTTTCTCCATCAACTCCTGTTCCATCTCTGCCCTGCCTTGTCTTTGCCTGCCCTACCCTGCCCATCTGGCTAGGCCTCTCTCTCTCTCTCTCTCTCTCTCTCTCTCTCCAGGTGTTTAAGGCCTCCCTAGGATTCCCTGTTCATCTGCAATTGCCCCATTTGTTTATCCAAATGGTACAGAACCACAGACACAGATCTGGCTTGCCGGGGATCCCCAGATGGCCATATCCGTTCTCCCAGCTCCACTCCTTCCCCTTCAAGCCACTTATCCTTGTGTGGTTTATTGACTTGTGTGCAGTTTTTCCCCATTGTAAAAGGCTGCAATGCCTCTCCTTGGCTTTGTAACTGGCAGGGATAGCATTAAGTTTAAATATCCTGGTATTTTGCCCCGGCCCATCTGCCTTTCCAGCCTTGTTCCCCACTAGGATGCAGTCCCCAAGAGCTTCTCCAAAATGGAATCCAGCATATGGGCTGAAAGGTTCAGCACTGCTGCTTCAACGCTTTCCTTTGCGCAAGGGGACAGGATTTCAGGCCTGCTCACGTGGAGCCTACACAAGTGGATCACACGTGTTTATATGAACTGCTTTTATTATGAATTTTAAATAAATCTGATATGAAATAGGAACCAGGTTTAATGTGAATCACATTCTAATATGTGCAGTTCTGCAAACCGTGTGTGAACCCAAATGTGGTTCTCCTTTGGCCTTTGCACTTCTCCAAAGGTAGTGATACCCTTTTCCAATTCAAGAAAATGTGTACAAAACTGTGACCCTGAAGGGAAAGGGCAACTATAAGGAGGACAAGTTTGCAAGAAGTG